GTGATTTTTAGGACAACAGTATAAGGAATAACAGTTAGGAGAAGTTATTTCATGTATTACGCATTCGCTGAGGTATTCACTGTAACAAGATGCGAAAATATTTTAGGGCCAAATGATGGTATAATATTGCGGCGTGGAGCAACCGTGGAACATGCGTGTCATGCACTGCATCGAAATTTGGCCAATGTCTTTCGATATGCAATTGTTTGGGGTACAAGCACAAAATTTTCACCGCAAAGAGTGGGCCTTCATCATAAGCTTCATCATGAAGATGTAGTGCAAATCGTCAAAAAGTGATCCAGCAGGAGCACTTGGCAAGGCATTAATCGTCTTTGAGGTGTTTTAGTAAGTATTAAGAATCACCAACTTGTCATGAACATTATCACTTTCAAAACCACAATGAGGTGTCTTACCGACAGAAGGATGATTCTTTTACTTTTTAATTCACGGTTAATCACATGCGAGACATTAATGGAAGGCCAAAATAGAAGTAAGAAAGACAAGAGCGCCAGAAGGGAGTCGAAAAAATCATGAAAATGTTGAGGTAAAACGTTCGGTCAATGAAGTTGCAGGTGTTTTAGCTCACCGCCGACTGCTTTAGAACGATGGGTGTTATGCAGAATTAGAGGGCGGGAAGGAGGCTAAACACAAAAGAGCAAGGGCGGAAAGAGGAGAAATTCGGATATCACAGAAAGTGAAGAAACAGAGAAAGGAGGTCTAAATATGCGAAAGGATAAGCTGTCTGCAGTCAGAAAGGGGAAATTCGAAATGAAGACGGAAATAAAAATATAGAGAGGCAGCTTTATTTAAAACCTTGTCAGTGCTTTAAATGCTTGACCAGTCCTATTCATTTGCTCATTTGCTCTGTGATATGAATTGTTGCGTCGTTGCAGCTGAATTACTCTCGAAAATTTGATTTTTGAATGACCAAACTATTTAATGTCAGCTGAGAATATCGATTACTTTTTGATAAAATTTCTACTTGATCGTTTTTTGGAAGTGACTTACTGCTACCTTTGACTCGTATTTGATCGATTGAAAGCAGCTGCTTTTCTCGTCGCATCTTCATGGTACGATATTTTCCTGAAGCATGTGAACTCGCTGAAATGATAATGTGGTGCTTGTCGGCAAGCAAGCACCTCAGTTCCTTAGTGTCATTCTGGCAGCTTGTTGTCCACGGCAGTAGTTTTAGAAGATTTCGTTGGTAAATTGATATTCTCTTTTTCAGCATACTAGGAAGTGAAATCGCTTTCGGTTTTGTTTAGCTACCGCAAAAGAGGGGACCTCAATCTTGTTCTGAGGGCGGTTGATATTAGGTAAAATGCTAATAGTTTTGGCGCTAAAATATCCGTTTGTCCGTATGTGGGATCGGAGCTTGCGTGCGGATTGATTTTTGAGTTACGTGGTCGTACACAGGCAGGGCCGTAGATGCTCTGGTTGCAGAGTTACAAAATGTCTGCGCCAAATTTCACGTGCTCACACGTGAGATGTGCAAGAGGCGCACGTGAACGGGTATCAAGGAGCATCGCAAAATAGCAGTTTTCTTGAGCTTTCTATTCAGTCTCACCAATATGAATATCTTCTTGCACGTACATATGATCTACAGTTGCGTACGTGCAGAACTGAAAGTCTTGGGACACCCCTCCCATTCCCACACATCCGTCTCGTTCCCACACACCCGTCTCGTTCCCACGCGCCCGACCCGTCTCCACGCACACATTCTGTTCCCACCACACCCTCCCAGTTCCCATGGCAACCCTCCGTTCCCGCCACGCCCCCCCGTTCCCACCACGCCCTCCCGTTCCCGCTCCCACTGCGTCTCTTCCGCTCCCTCTCCCTCCCATCAAACTCTTCCCGTCTCTGCCACACCTTCCCTGCTCCCATCACACCCTTATCGCTCCTACCAGTGTAGGCGGATCCAAAGCGGTTTCTAGGGCGGGGCGGGGGAGGAAGAGGGCAGGGTTGCCGTCTCCCACACACGCGACAGGGGTTACCGATTTACGCACAGACTTTTGTACAGTACTACCTAAGCCCGTTGGGAGGGGGAGAGAGAGGGACGGGGCTCTGGATGCGCAGAGATGAGAAAGGGGGAATCCCCTACTAAATAATTTTCTCGCATCTCTGCCTTCTCCTTCCTCTCGTCCACCCCTCCCCTTCTTTCTCTTAATCCGCCCCTCCTCATGGGTTGCATGTGGGCTCGGGAGTTGGGAATGTGAAAAAATGGAGAGATTGGGGAATTGGGACCGGAATGAAAGAGAGTTTGGGTGCCCCCTAGTTTTTGTGGTTGCTGAGCTGTTAATTACGGCTCCAAAGGTCTTGCACATCCGTGTCGGATGTGTGAAGGTATGCGCAGAGACTGAATTTATATGTGGGCAGGAGCATTGTTCTCAAATTTCAGCTTCCTTGCTTTCCTGACTCCTGAGTTATTAATTTTGGCGCCTAAAGTTCCACGCGTCGTCACATAAGATCTAGGCATGTGGGCCCTTAAAACTTCAGCTTCCTAGATTCTCTGGTTCCCGACTGAAATTCCTATATAAAATGCACTCGGAATAAACACGCAGACTGTCGACGATATGCGTTTTGTGCAACCTTTGCAGTACGAAACGCATAAAAACTGGCAAAGCATTAGCTGTTTCGAGATGTCATTGGAGTATGTTTAGCATTACTTACTATCGCCTGTCGAGCATTGCTAGATCTAGACCACGATGGAGACCCCCTGTTGACTAGAATATGGTTAATGTATGTCCTTTCAGGTTTTTTCAAAATATTCAAAGCAGTTTGTGTTAAGGAGCGGGGGTTCTTCAAGTTGGTGGATTTCAGGATGAATCGTCCGTGCAGCAAACTTCTAAGCGCAGCCAGACAACTTCTTAGCGCTCGGCATCCCTTTCTGCGCGCTGTTGCACAGTGCTCGGAGTCGAAACAACCACAGACGGCACACGAATACCGTGCAGATTCACGTGCGGAGCAGGAGGATCTGAAAACGAAACGCTCTCGTTTGCTCTATCAAAGTAAAAAGCGTGGCATCCTGGAGAATGATATTATCCTGGGCGAATTCGCCGATGAGATGCTCGAGAAGATGGACCGTGAGCAGTTGATGCGTTACGATGAGATTATTAATGGCGAGCACATGGAATGGGATTTGTACTACTTCATTTCCGGCAAAAAACCATTGCCAAAGGATCTGGAAAATTGTAAAGTGTTTAGAATGGTTCAGGATTTTGTGAAGAAAAAAGTGCAAGCAGTGCGTGATCGAAGCACGGGGAACTCTTAAAATCTGTTTTAGGAAACGACTCGAGGATAATAATTATGCTGTTTACGATTATTTGTCAGAAATTAAAAAACAGCTTTCTGGTCATGCTTTCTGCTTGTACCTGCCATTTAGGCTGTATTTTCGAATTTGAATTCGTTTTTTTAAGTTTCAAACTTCTGTAAACCATTTCTATTGCACTGGATATGCTATCATTTCCTTATCAGCTCTCTCTTAAACTGCTATCCAAAGGGAGACTTGCAACAATTATTAATTCCGTAATTGACGCAGCTGTTAAGTTCATTTGTTTCGCCCAGTACCGTATCACCCAATACTTGGCATTCATTTCATCTCCTGGAAGGATTACTGGCTCAACTACATGCAAATGAATAGGTACGCTTTATATGCAGGAACATCTCTGTAACTTCATCAGCATGGCATATCACACTGATTGCCCAGTCAGTCTTGATATATAAACTTTTAAGAATTCAAAAAAAAAAAAAACTTTGGTTCAAATCGTGCAATCGTTGAGGAGTGCACATATTCTTTTGTTTGAAGATGGAATCGCTACAGTGTGCCATTTAGAACTGGGATTTTGCTTGTTTTAGCTTGTATTTGGTCATTACTAGCATTGTATGTTTATCCATGTTTCTTGCACTGGACACTGATCACTTTGTTATGTAAGATCATGCAGTTTTTCCATATTTTACGCGAACGTAGATCTTTTTCACGTGTTCTTTACTGTATACATTGTTTTAATTTGTATTAAATTTCAGGATGCATGTGGACACTGTGTTAGTGACGATCTGTAGCA